GACGGTGGCGACCAAATGGAGGGGGACAGTAGGTGCGTACTTCATCCGCCAAGAAGTCGGTGGTGTCGGGCGGGAACTGTGCCAGAGGGTTGACACGGTATCTGCCTGGGTGGCCCGGAGGGCCTGGTAGAAATTGAAGCAAACGGCTGGCGCGTTTCAAGCGCATGGTGATTCTGGCCAATTCGGTCACACTCTGATGGTACTGGAAGTAAAGCCGGAAGGCATCGGCTTCTGCAAAGAGGGTGTGGTCTGGTATAGGACTGTCGATCATGGGGTGATTGAGAATCTGAGTTACCCCGTGGGCAAGGCTGTCGAGAAGGCTATGCATGAGGAGGAGCTCTGGTTGATGGGTGTCAAATGCGCAGGAGGATCGGAGAAAGTGTGTCTCGGTGGCTGAAGTCTGCTCTGTGGAAGGCGGCGGCAAGGCATTGCGCGGCGGGCAGGCAGCTGGAGCCATGCTGAATCGAAAGAGTTGATCTGTACAATGAAATCAAAGCAAGTTGGATATTGAAAATGGCTACGGTGGCATGAATGGCCGGTCTGAACCAGTGTGTCATAATAAGGTCCGGCACTCAACTGCTTGGATAGCCTAACGTGACTGCAAAAAATGCGCAACCGCTGGTGCTGCAGTGCAAGGTTCATGTTTGCTAGGAGCACGCCGAACGGAGCTGGGTGCCAATATCAGCTGCATCTGGTTCCGGATGACTGTCCTCACTGATGGCTGTTGGCAGAGCATCGCCGATAGCTGCGGCTGCCGGTGGAGGAGATGGAGGTGTTGTGGGAGTGTAAGAGAAATCTGGGACTGAGGGTAGTACCGGTGGTGGTGTTGCTGCTACAGAGGGAGGTGAGCGGGTAGGGGAGAGTGGTGGTGGCGTATTGGCAGGTGAGGTGGGTGCAGGTGAACGTGGTGAGGGTGGGGGAATGGCAGCTTCTTGTTCGCGTTGTGCTTCTTGAAGTTCTTCCCAGCGGGCCTTGCACTGTTCAATTGAGAAGCCCACTCGACGAGCAACGTAGTTCCAATTGGGTCGGAGGCGGGCGTCGGTCTTGAGTTCAACGAGGCGAACTTCAGCGTCGCCGTCCCAAGCATCCCGATCAGCATCCTCTTTAAGAGGTGGTGGGGGCTCACGTTTCTTCTTGGGTGGTGGTGGTGGTGGTGAAGGAGTGGAGGTTGAAGACGCTTGTGATGCGGTAGGTTGTGGTGGTGCATGCCGGATGGGAGCAATAGGGGCCGAGTCACAGGAGGATGTAGGTGAAGGAATGGGGACGGCCGTGGAGGGAGCTGGAGGGAGAGATGGAAAAGTGCGTTGAAAGTGGGCGACTTGTCGTGTGTGAATAAGGTAAAAGTTGTGAAGATTAGCCAGAATGTCAGTTGCTTGCTGGAGAAGGCGATGGAGCTGGGTAAGTGCAATAGTGGTGCGATGGAGCAGTCGAGCTTGGTCTGCGCTGGAATGCATCTTGAAGGAGAGCTTCGGTGATCAAGCAGCTGAAGCAGCAAGCGGGTGGCGCGGCGCAGGTCATCACTGCATGAGAGACCGGTGCATACGGGCGGACCATGCAATTGAATTATCAGCATGAATTATTGAGCACGAATTTGCAGAACATACGATGACACAAATCTGAAAATGGGTTCGGATCAACGTGGCATGAAGTCATGCAAAGGAAACTCGCAAACGTTCATCACGCAATAAAACTACGTCACGAAGAGATTAATTCAAGTTGTCAGCATGAAAACAAGAGTGCAACAAACACAATCAGTGCCATGAATCTTCAATCAAAATGGGAGAGGAACTGAGCACTGAAGTTGATTGTCCAGTCAAATGGCTCGTGAAGGTGATAAAACCTGCAGAGTAAAGCAAGACATGTGATCGCAGTGGACCGGCACAAAGTGGGGCTGATTTTGACGGAGCTTGAGTCGGTGGTGTAATGTGAAACTCGTCGAAAAGCCGCTCTCAATTGTGGTGAGTGTGTGGTGGTGGTAAGGGAAGTATGTTGGCTGGGTGTGAGTGGTGGAGGTGCCTCAAATGTTTAATGGACCACGCCAGGCCTTTGAGGATGGCGTTATTGGGGTGAATCACCCAGCATCGTGCCTTGGCGTGGCAGACTGCGCCATGCTCTTGTTGTAAGAGGTGCATAGCTTGGGCTTCACCGCCACTTGTGAATTTTGTTCCCCGGCCCCAGGCCAGGAGATGGAGCATGATCGAGTGGGTGTTCTTTGCGAGTTTCCATGTGTTGTGTAGTATGCGGGCTTGTTCGTAGTTGTCGTGGAGTGTCTGGTGAGTGATGCGTGTGGCTTGGGCAAAAAAGCCCGGATTGGCATCAAAGTGGAGGATGCTGGGCAGTAGGCGGCCCTGTTGTAGAATGGCGGTGATGTTGCCGTGGGGGCCAGTATGGCCCGCGTTGATGTGGACTGTTTCTGGGGTGGTGGAGGTGGCACGTGTGGTAGGCGGTGGTATCTGGCGAGTGGCTTTGTCGGCCAGACTGGGAATGTTGATACAGTGGTATGAGAAGGCGTCGTAGGCATTGGTAGTGTCATTCCACTTAACATGTGTAAGTTGTCGGAAACCTGCCAGATCTTCATGGGTAAAGCCGCTGTCAGCGAGCAGTTTGGCAACATATGCGTGTTGTGGTTTGTTCTCGGCTGCCAGCTGTGTAGCATGAAAATCGAGCCACCATTGGATCTGCTCTTGGTGAGAAGTTGATGGACGTGCGGTGGAGGTGCCTTCCAAGGTGGCTTGGGGCGTCGCAGGGCTGGTATGTTGGGAAAGTCCGCCTGAGACATGTTGGTAATTTGATGGTGAGGTGTTGACTGTTGGTTGGGACGTAAGGTGATGGGTGCATGGGAGCGGCTGCGGGAGCGGCTGTTGGAGGATGTAGAGGAAGGGGAAGGGGAACGGCGGCGCCGGTGGCGCGCTGACGAGGCTGGATTGGTCGAGGCTGGAGTGGAGTGGCGATGTCGGGTGCGCCGATCTCGTGTGCGGCGACTGCGTTGGCGGTGGCGACGGCGGCTGCGCCCTCTGCTGCGGTGTGTACGGCGGGTGGTTGCAAGAGAAGCTGGCGGTGAGGGGGCAGTGCCCGAATGGGCCGATGCAGCTTCTTGAAGTTGCGCGTGTGATCGTTTGTGAGATCGCGGAGTTGGTGCTGATGGTGCTCCTGGTGGGGGAGGTGGTGGTGGTAGCGGGTGGACTGGTTCTGGTGGTGTCGCAACGGCTGTGGATGGTGATGTGAGAGGAAGTGAAGTGCATGGGTTGTTGGTTGAGGGGTACTCGGATGAGTACCTACGGACTGTGGAGCGCTTGGATCAGTGGGAGCCGGTGAGGAGGTCGTCACGGTAGAAGGTGTTGGATCAGGGGGAACGGTAATGGCTGAAGTGGACGCCGGGTGGGAGTGTGGTGAAGGGTGAGCCACTGGGGAAAGAGGGAGTAAGGCTGCCAAATGCCTTGGGAATGGTCCCAGTGAATGGACGTTGGTTGTGCTGTTGGTTGTGGTGCTGGCGGAGCTTGGGGTGGCAGTGACACCGGTGATGGAAGCGGTGGAGATTGCAAAGATGGTGGATGGTGTGGAGGTTGCACTGGTATTGGTTCAAGTGATTGCAACTGAGGTGGTACTGGGTAGGCGGGTGCATGGGTCACGAAGGTTGGTGACGGTGGGGGGTGCGGCGGCAGGTGATGTGGCCACATAGGAGCTGGTGGTTGTGGTGAAGTGGCCTGAAACTGAGGTAAGATCGCTTGTGGTTGTTGATGAGGCAGGACAGTAGGCATAGGTGCGGTTGGTGGATGATGGTGCCATGGTGGTGGCTGAGTATTGATTGTAGGCATTGTGGGTGCGGTACAAGGTAATGGCCATTGTGGATATGCAAGGATACTGCATGTGGATGACAATTGGGAGGTCAATCCAACAGGCCGAAGGCTGCAGGAAATGGCGCCGGCGCGGCGCAGCAGCTGAGGTGAAAAGTTGGAAATACTGATAGATTCTGGAACCTGAGTGGATCTGCAGTGAGGAGAAGTAAGGTGAAGTCGTGGCATGCAGTGCAATGCGAAGTGGTGTAGACCATGTGGAAGCTGATCAAATGGCTGCGGATTAAAATTGAAAAACGCAAAATGCACAAACCGACATCATGGCAATGCAAAACAGAAGGAATTCAGAAATTCTTATGGGTAGTCCATCGTTTATAGCCCGGCGGCTCGAAAATCCGTTAATTCAGCGATAGAATTGAACAAACAGGAAGACAGTTATAAAAATGAAAGGTCGGTGATTTCCAGCATGATTTCAGCGCCTCCTTTCGGAGGGTCACACCCAGTACCCGCGTGGGAAGACTGAGCGGTTCACACTTCGACATTGGTTTTCAGTTACACTCAGTTACCACGATGGGAAGGAAGGTGAGGGAACGGAAAGGTGCATAAGTCCGCAAAACCGTATTGTTGAACATTGTTCACAAGTGGCCTCGAAATCGATCTGTACAATCAGTGCGGTGACGAGCTCAGCTGCAGGAAAGTGGGTTTGGGGGAGGAAGCATGAACGACCATGGAAACAAAAAAGCGGTAGTGGACAGCTTGACCAAAAGTTCACGTTGCAGGTACAGGAATGTGCGTCCACATTCCCTTCCGGCTGAATCCCATAGCTTCGTTGGCATGGCTAGGGAAACAGCTGCCATGCCCCCCTGCTTCTGTCTTGGTGGAAAAAGGTGGCGAAAGTGTAAAAGTCGGTGGTGGTGAACTTTTGGCCCAGGGGTTGACACACACACACACACACAGTCCAAACACCACAGCTGAACAGTCCAACCTCCATGTCAGACATGAGAAACTCCAGGTGATTTTTGTGAGTTCCGGCGCGTAAGCTCCGCGTAAGCTCCGGCCGTAAGGTCTGCGTAAGCCCTACTTGCTCCAAGTGTACCGCGTAAGCAAACATGTGAGTCGCGTAAGGCAGCGTAAGCACAAGCGTAAGCCCAATGATACGACGTGGGATTTCATCAAGGTTTTCAGAAACGCTCAAGTCTTCTTCAGGAGCGGCGGCGAGGGCAGGAAGACCAGAGAGAGAAGGAGGAGACGGAAGCAAGTTTATGACTATACCAGTCAGTGACTATACTAGTTAATAACTATTTAATTCCAGTTGATGACTATGCCAATGAGTTTTATCCATCCGATTTGAATGGATTTCATCAATTTGGAGCTAAACCTCGCAAGCTCGAAAATAACAGCTCCAGGGCTTCATGGCCTCGGGCCCCTGGATTGAGTCGAATGAGATTGAGGCTCTGGTCGCGGACATGTCAAGCTGGGGCCCCAGGGGAATTATACCGGCATAGACCCCAGATAGCACTTCAAGAAAAGTGGGATAGCATGGCAAGAGCAGGAGACAAGCGCTTGGGAGAAATCCCACTCAAAGCCGGGAAAAGGATGGAACAGGTAAACAAGACCTAAATCATCTTATAACAGCATCCGCGTCAAAGGTAGGCAAGAAAATGACAAGGCGGCAGCGGCAGCCAAGAGCGAAATCAGGAAATCATCAAGGGAGACAAGCTTGGGAGACCAGGCGGCAGCGGCAGCCAAGAGCGAAGTTATGAAGGGAGACAAGCTTGAGAAACAAGACAGCAGCGGCAGCCAAAAGAGAAATCATGAAGGGAGACAAGCTTGGGAGACAAGGCGGCAGCGGCAGCCAAAAGAAAAATCTTGAAGGGAGACAAGCTTGGGAGACAAGGCGGCAGCGGCAGCCAAGAGGGAAATCATGAAGGGAGACAAGCTTGGAAGACCAGGCGGCAGCGGCAGCCAAGAGCGAAGTTATGAAGGGAGACAAGCTTGAGAAACAAGACGGCAGCGGCAGCCAAAAGCGAAATCATGAAGGGAGACAAGCTTGCGAGACGAGGCGGCAGCGGCAGCCAAAAGAAGAATCATGAAGGGAGACAAGCTTGGGAGACAAGGCGGCAGCGGCAGCCAAGAGCGAAAGCAGAGGCAGCCAAGAGCCAAATCATGAAGGGAGACAAGCTTAAGAAGCAAAGGGGCAGCGGCAGCCAAAAGCGAAATCATGAAGGGAGACAAGCTTGGGAGGAGACAAGCCGGCAGCGGCAGCCAAGAGCGAAATCATGAAGGGAGACATGCTGAACAGACAAGGCGGCAGCGGCAGCCAAAAGCGAAATCATGAAGGGAGACAAGCTTCACAGACAAGGCGGCAGCGGCAGCCAAAAGCGAAATCATGAAGGGAGACAAGCTCAATTGGGAGACAAGCGGGCAGCGGCAGCCAAGAGCGAAATGTCGAAGGGAGACAAGCTTGGAAGACAAGCCGGCAGAGGCAGCCAAGAGCGAAATCATGAAGGGAGACAAGCTTGGGAAACAAGGCGGCAGCGGCAGCCGACAGCGACATTATGAAGGGAGACAAGCTTCACAGACAAGGCGGCAGCGGCAGCCAATTGCGAAATCACGAAGGGAGACAAGCTTGGGAGACAAGGCGGCAGCGGCAGCCAAAAGC